AGAAGCCTCCTGCTCTGACAGTGAGCAAAGGAGGGACAGTGACTATGGGCTGTAACCTTGGGACAGTCACTGACAGTGCTGCTCGCTGGTACAAGCAGGTCCCAGGTGGAGTTCCCCAGTTTTTGTTGAGGTTTTACCATGGATCGAGCTCCCCCTATCTATGGGACAGGCTTCTCCTTCAGCCACTTCACATCAAACCATAAAAGTAAATCAGATTATTGGTTGATCATCAGTACAGTGGAGGTGGGAGACTCAGCAGTTTATTACTGTCAAACATGGGACGGCTCTGCTAATGAACATGTATCACAGTTATTTACACCATGACAAAAACCTCCCTGCTTAATATTTTCAGTTCTGCTTTTATAGCTGTTGAAAATACACATACAAACCTTTATCGTTAAAAAACGCGGGCACATATATCAGATTTGTCATGCCCCGATCGTTCGCTCCTCTCATGTGCCACGCCCCCTCGTTAACCTCATGTGGATTCCCCGTGTTTATCAGCTGTTTCTGGTTACTGTCATTAGTGGTCCTTAAAGGGGCCAGGGCCATAACGGATGCTATCCCGCGGGTTCCGCAGTTCCAGAATCGAGCAGCGCCCCCCGCGTTTCCTGAGGCTGCAGCGCCCCCCGCGTTTCCTGAGGCTGCAGCGCCCCCCGCATTCCCTGAGGCTGCAGCGCCCCAGCCCTGCCTGGCAACCGCCAGGAGGTTTTTCGCCCTCCAGGGACTATACTGGCAGGTGGTAGGTGAGCCTGCAGTAAGGGACTCCCCAGAGGCAGTTACGCTTCTGGAGCAGCTCCAGAGGGAGTTCGCCGCCATCTCTCCAGCAGCTCCACCTCAACAGTTGGAGAGGGCGGAGGGGACCTTACGGAAGCTGCTCTGGTTGCGGGCGGAGCTGACCCCTCCAGAGGAGGATGCAGCCCCTGCTGTGCCGTCACCCTCTCATGTTCCTACGGCTCTTGTGGTCCCTGCTCAGCCCCCTGCTGGCCGCACGCCCGAGGCGCCCCCTGCTGGCCGCACGCCCGAGGTGCTCCCTGCTGGCCGCACGCCCGAGGTGCCCCCTGCTGGCCGGACGCCCGAGGTGCCTGTGTGTGCTCCCGCGGCGCCCCCAGAGGCGCCTGTGTGTGCTCCTGTTCCTGCAGCGCCCCCAGAGGCGCCTGTGTGTGCTCCTGTTCCTGCGGCGCCCCCAGAGGCGCCTGTGGCGCCGGCAGCACCCCCCGAGGTTCCTGTGGCGCCGGCAGTGACCCTCCAGGTTCCTGTGGTGCCGGCAGCGCCCCGCAAGGTTCCTGTGCCTCCTGCTCCAGGTGCACTGTCCCCTGTTGGCCTGGAGTGGGCGCACCCTGCCCAGTCCCTTGTGCAGCCCCCTCAGCTCCCCGTCACTCCAGTGCTCCCCGTGACTCCAGTGCCTGAGCTCCCAGCTCAGTCCCCTGCTGCTGCTGCTACGGTGCCCGTGGCCCCTGCTCAGCCCCCAGCGGTCCCGGAGGTCCCCGTACTGCCCCCTGTTGGCCCGGAGCCTTTGGCGCCTGCAGCGTCCCCCCAGGTTCCCGTGGCACCTGCAGCGCCCCCCCAGGTCCCTGCTTTCACCCCTGTTGTTCCTGTGTCTCCTGCTTCGGCGGCTCTGCCCCCTGTGTCTCCGGCTGCAGCAGTGCCCCCTGTTGACCTGGAGCCTGTGGCGCCTGCAGCGCCCCCCGAGGCTCCTGCGGCGTCCCCCGAGGCCCCTGCAGTGTCCCCTGCGGCGTCCCCCGAGGCCCCCGCAGTGTCCCCCGCGGCTCCAGCGGCTCCTGCAGTGTCCCCCGCGGCTCCTGCTCGGGCGCCCAAGGCCCCCTCACCCGTGGCTCCTGCTCTGGCGCCCCCTTCTGAGGAGCTGGCTCTGCCCGACGTCCCGGCCCTGACTCCGCCCGCGCCCGATGTCCCGGCCCTGGCTCCGCCCGCACCACACCCGTCGGCTCCAGACTCCCTGACCCCGACGGCCGGCATGCTTACCCAGGAAGGTCTAGACGTCCTGGCCCTGAAGGCCGATGCGTCGCCCCATGCGACCTCAGTCTCCCCGGTCCCTGCTCCCTCGGCCTCAGAGCCCCCGGTCCCTGCTCCCTCAGCCTCAGAGCCCCCGGTCCCTGCTCCCTCGGTCTCAGTCCCCGAGGTGGTCTCTGACGACCTAAACCCCGCTCCTTCCTCCACAATGGAGTTGGAGGAGGAGCTGGAGTGGGACCCCTCGGGGATCACCCTGACCCTGCCTGTGTACCCCCCCAGGGGGTCACCACAACCA